TCTGGCTACATTTGTATCCCTTTTCTCTCTCCAAATGTTGTTTCTAAAATTTTTCTTTGGTCTTCTGTTCAATTTACTTATTTTTGTTTTTCCTTGTTTAATATTTAAGACATGTATAAAATCACAATTATTTTCTAAATAAGTGGGTTATGTGCCATGCATTTCAATACGTAGTTTTGTATCGTTAGCTTTTTGCTTTCCCTAAAAACTCTGACACTGCAAATTTGGTTTCCTCTTTGAACAAACAACTATTCAGGAAACTGTTTTATCAGCTCCTTTCAAACACTTACTGTTTTCTTGTGGTGAAATGAAAGACAGAGAGTACATATATAAATGCAGGAGATGCTGTGGGAAGTCTAGGTCTGGACTGACACAGACAGCATGGGTGAAGAGCTTGATAAGCAGTCTGGGGTTTCCTCAAGGAGGAGGGCAAGAGATGCTGACAGGAAACTGCAAAAACTGAGAGAAAATGTCAAGATTTAATGAGGGTTGGCTTTGGTTCTCCACACATGGAAAGTGGTTGATTGGCTATGGTTCTTCTCCAGTGTGACCAGTCTTCTCCAAACTTAATACGTTCTGACAGGTGTGAGGATATCTAGAATCACACAGCAATATGTGAGGCCGAGACAGGAGGACTGCAGGATCAAGCCCAGCCCAGGCAACGTAGCAGTGTAGCAAGACCCTGTCTCAAAAACCAATGAATAAACAGCTAACAAACAAGTCAAAAGGCTTAGAGATGTAGCTCAGTGCAAGGACCCTCAGTTCAGTCCCCAGTACCACCTAAACCAAGAACAAAGAGCCCCTCAAACATGGATATCCTTTACAGACTATTCTGACCTCTTGGGATGCCAGCGCTACATGGCAAGGTGCATATGCCACCTGGAAAGACAAGATCTTACGTGCATCCTCTGCTCCTTCTATCATATAGCTACAAGCTCTCATCATGGCAAAACAAGGAAAGGTCCCCTGTAAGGGGCAGAAAGTGGGGAAGGTACAGAACACATTTCCTTCTCTGTCAACTTGGATAACACCAGCAGTGCCAGTGCTTTCTACCATGACCAACAGAGTGACTCCTTTTGGCCAGGACAGGCTTCAGTTTTGTTTTTGGGTTTGTTTCTCTCTCTTTTTGGTAAAGTTTAAGCACTGCCTGCGTATTGCTTGACAAGCAAATCTTCAAAATGACAAGCAGTGGCTTGGAATAGGCCTGAAATGAATGGAACGCGGGGTCAGGTTGTCTTGATCCCAGGTGTCTGAATTCATTTTCCTTTTCTCTTTCCCTTCCATCTGGGGCGGATTTGCTGGGACCTGGGTGTGGGGACACATGTCTGCCCAGATTTTTCCTGTTTTTTGTTTTTTGTTTTTTTCAGATTGGAGAGGGCTCTGCAAGTGTTTTTACTTTGGTGGATAGCTTTGGACATGAGCTTGTTCTGTTGTTCTGCTCTGTGCTGACATTTCTGTATTACTGGCTCATAGCAGAACACCAGTGATACCTGGCAGCCTGTGCCAGACTCAGCCCGAGCTGTATTAGTAAGGTCATGCCCTTTAATCTGAAACAAGCCCAGGGACTATACACATTTTGAAGAAACTATGGGATAGTGTTGGTCTCAGGAAAAGCTCGGGGAAGTATGATAGGTTTATTCTTTTCCTTTTTTTTTTTTTTTGATATTTTATTCAGATAGTAATCTGCCTCCTTCTCCCCTTGAAGAATTTATTTCTACTCGCAATTCACACCTGTCTTTAAGAAATGATTTGTTTATTTTCTTTTTTGAGACAAGGACTTGCTATATAGTTTAGGCTGGCCTTGAATTTGTCACCACAATCCTCTTGCCTCAGCCTACCTAGTGCTGAGATTACAGGTGTGTACCACCATGCCTGACAAGAAATGATTTGTTAGACTCATTCATCTTGTGGCAATATTTCTTTATCATAGTAGAGAATGTTGGTTGTCTCCTCATACTAGTCCTTCAAGTACCAGGATACTTAAATATTTCTTGGGCCATGCTGCACAGAATCTAAGACTATTGCAGTTGCTAGGCTCTCTTGCTGCTACCCATGCCTAACTGACTAAGTTCTGGCCTCTTCTGCCTCTTCCTTGCCCTGCCCTCCCATCTCACTGAACCGAGTGCAAATGTGCTGGGGCCACCTTGGGTCAAGTGAAAAATAATAAGTTATGGATGCAGAGCCCCAAGGTGGAAGAAGTCTGGGTCTTGGCAGTGAGGGGCAGCCATATGAATGCACTTTAAGCTCAGTTTCTGTGGTTTGGGTTCTGTTCCAGCTGTAGAGCCTTATGCTGACAAAAGTGCCTAGTAGCAGTAGACCTATAGAATTCACAAATGTGGGTGTCTGTCACCTCCAAGATCACATTTAAGCCCACTGACCTATTTCACAGTCAACATTGGCAAACTTTTCATGTAATTTTTCTATTTCTGAGCTCCCTCCAAGGCTCACTCAACATGGCCTATCTTGGTAGGTCACCACTCACATTGACCAAAAATGGTGAGTAATGTGGCTGTCTTTAAATCTGTGTTCCAAATTCTACCAGTTTTAGAATTGGTAATAAACCCTTTACTTGGATATGAAGACCAAATATTCTCTGTGTTTCTATACAAAGAAGTTGTAATTTTAAGTATTTGCCTGGTTTGAGATATATCAGGTGAAGGAAAATAACTACTAATCACTTGTTTGAAAATAAATTGTGTGGGGGCTGGGGATTTAGCTCATCAGCAAAGCGCCTGCCTGGCAAGCGCAAGGTCGTGAGTTCGGTTCCCGGTACCGGAGAAAAACCAAAAAAAAAAAAAATAAATAAATAAATTGTGTGAAAAAATTTAGAGCAGGGATTGGCAAACACTATAAAGGGAAGATAGCAAGTCTTTAGGGTTTGGGTGGCCAGTTTGATCTCTGTGGCCACCACTTAATTCTGACACTGTAGAGTGAAAGCAGCTGTAGACAGTACATGTGTGAATAGCTTTGACTTTGTTCCAGTGAATTTTATTTACAAAATCATGTTGCAGACTGGACTTGGCCACTGCGCTGTAGTTTACCGACCCATGATTTAGATCCTCTTAAAAGCATTTATCTTTTACAGTTGCATACAAGGTTACTTGAAAGTTTTATTTTGTTTTCCATTTTGCTTGTCTTGAATCAGAAGTATTTTGAAAATTTCATTAATAATTATCTTATGTAAAATGTTAGCATTTCAGTTTGCTCTTTGCTTGAATAAGAACCATCTTACCATTAGCAAATGAGAAGAACTTCCTACCAATGGGCAAGTACCTCTTAATGCTCACACTATGTGAATGCTCCTTGATAAACTGCCCCGGGAAGGGCAGAGGCTTAGCACTTAGGTGTTTGGGGAATACTTTGTAGGAAAGCAGATATATTCAAGACAACAAATCTGAATTAGATCTTCCCTCCCTCCTTCCTTCCTTCCTCCCTTCCTTCCTTCTTCCTTCCTTTCTTCTTTCCTTTCTTCTTTCCTTCCTTCCTTCTTTCTTTCCTTCCTTCTTTCCTTCCTTCCTTCCTTCCTTCCTTCCTTCTTCCCTCCCTCCCTCCTTCCCTCCTTCCCTCCCTCCCTTCCTTCCTTTCTGGATTTTTTTAAACTATTAACTTATGGTGGTTCAAAACTTTCTATGTCTTCTTTACTTTCATAGTGAAAATTTTAGTAGATGGCTTCCAAAGTGGAAACTCAATTTTTTGGCCTTTTCCCTACAAGGGAAGAACCAGAAATGACTGGACATTTTGTGCTTTCATGTACATTTGGGAAATCATGACAGGAAAAAGGCATGCCCAGTGAGAATTTAGTAAAGCCAGAGAACTGTGACATACTATTGGTGGATTTATATATGTGCTTCTAAAGTACTTTGTAGTGAAGTGCCTTTGTGGTTTTGGAGTGAGAACTGAGATGTTTACTTTCCTCTTGGAAATGTGTGCCTGTGCTTTGATTTCAGTTCCTTTAAGTCCAAAACGTCTTCATTGAATACTTTCTCCATGCTCATTCCATATATGTGAAAGGGAAAGAGAATGGAATATAGATCCAGAGAAAGGAGGTTCATAGCTTTTGGTTTAATGTCTTCTTCCATAAATAATAGAATAAGATGCATAGATCAGCATTCCAAATGTAGACTCACCGTTATAATTTTCTCTGCTATTATATATCAGCAACTAAAATAGGAAAATAGGCAACCTTTCCACCCTACAGTCTATCCAAAATATTCAGGACTATTCTTAAGGTCCTAGGCACACATGATTTTTAAAACAGTAATTTGGTTTCAGGCCCCTCAGAGAAGTGTCTCTCGGTAATGAGCAGCTGCAGGTTCACCTCATCAGCCTCCTACCTCAGACCCAGGGCAAACAGCACGTGGATACAAGATAACCCCTCTGTAAATAGAGCACCCTTTGAAAGCAAACACAGCAAATATTGAAGGCTTTTTCTTTCCAGCTTTTCCTCTCCCAAGTCATATATGGCAGAGGGGCCAAAGGAATAGCCTTGCCTCTTTTAGTAAAAGGAATTCTTTGATGTGGAAGACTGCGCTGGGCTGTTTGCAGCCTGTGGTGGGAGGGAGTCAAGGAGAGGGGAATTAAAGTTCATGGGTGAAGCTGCAGTTTTTAGGTCAAGCTGGGATGCGACCTTCAGAGCTTGCCAAATCCACGAGGGAACAGAAGTTGCCTTTGGATGGCTTCTCAATGGCCCCTCTGTGGCTTTGAGTCCCAGGTCCTGGTAAGATGCTCTCTGATGTGATCCAGCAGGGTCAGCCTGCACAGTAGGGTCCTGCTCTGTCCGCACAGGAGGCTAGCCAGTGACCTCTTCTGGGAGGAGCCTTGGGAAGTTAAAACATACACAGGCTGTTACTCCAATACCCTGACTACCTAGCTATGCAAATTGGCTTCTTTTTATCAATAAAGAGGAAAGATGACTTTTAAGAAAATTTTCAACTCCAGTATAACTCAGTGTTACAAGTTAAACGATCTTTTCTTATATAATTTGCAAAGTTCTGTCTTCCCCGATGAGATATCTTAAAAATGTGCACCGTTGATCCTCCCACTCTGGAAATGACCACTGCTTTGTTCTGACCCAAACTCTTGCTTATTTAATCTTCTTTAAAAGTAAAAATGTTCCCAAACCATAGTTTTTGTTTGATTTTATGTTTTTTATTCTCCCAGGGACACGAGCAACACCAATTGTAAAAGGAACCGGCCATGTTTATGGCTGTTGTCTAGTCAGTTGGCCTTTCTAGCACTCGGGCAGTGACCTAAGACTGTTGTGTTTCAGTTCCCAACACTACCGAGAATGTTGACATTTTATTTAAAGTTCCAGCAGCTCTGTCTGTGTCTCTGTCCCTCTTCCCCCGCCCCACTATCTGGCTCCCTCTCTCATATAAACACACGTATACACACTCGATACTAAAGAAAAAAAAAAACACTTTACCTAAAATATGCACAAAAAGATTGACTTTTTATTTGCCTTTGTATCACTAGCATATTTGTGAGGCAATTTTTTCCTTTGGATCTTACATTTGGTTTCTGGGGCTGGAATTCCATGGTGACATGCTAATCGCCAGTCAGAGCACCTGGAACAAGGTTTGGTCAACAACCCAAACTCTCTTTCATTCGTCTTTTTTTGCTAGGATCTTGAGCTTGCAACACAAGTTAGAAGTCTTCCAACTCCTAGTCTCATTTTCCAAGGAAATCTGAGGGGCAAAGTAGAAACTTTGGAATCAGATCCGGTGAAATTTGTTTCTTGTATTCTAGCTGTAGGTAGCTGTGTGAACTTGGAAAAGTTATTTGATTTTTCTAACCTTCGATTTCTTTATGTGAAAAATGCAGATAAAACATGTTTTGATCCTTTGAAGATTAAACTTGTTAGGATCTATGCAGTGTCTGATGACAGGATGTGAGAGATGCTCCCTCTCCTCCAACTTTCTCCGTGTCTGTGTATTGGTCTCTCTACTGTGTGGACATAGGAATTAGAATTCCTCAGAGGAACAGAACTAATAGCACACTTGTAATTGTAAGATGAGATCTACTAGACTGGCTCGCATTATCAGTGGCTGAAGTCTCACAATGGCTGTCTGCAGGCTTGAAGCGAGGGAAATTAGTAGCTGCACAATCCAAGATACTATAAGCCAGAAGCTGGAAGCCAAGAGAGGCCAGTGATGCAGTCTCAGACTGAGACTAAAGGCTGGAAGTCCCTGTGGACTTACTGGTGGGTTCTAGTCTACTTTTAAAGGCTGAACTTAAAGGAGGTGGCAACAGCAAAAAATTTTGGACTGTAACTCCAAGCAAAAAATGTATTTGCTTAAGAAGTGTCCAGCATGCACTTATAGAGTGTCCTCCTTCTTCTGCCTTTTGGTTCCATCCTGGGTCTCAGCAGTGGGACCTCAGTTTGCTGACCCTCACCAATCTTCTCTGAAACACTATCCAGGCACACATGAAGGCATGCTTTACTAATTTCCCAGGCATCCCTCTATCCAATCACCTTGACAACCAAATTTAACCGTAACGGCAAATATGCAGAGTACAGCCTGGCTAGCGCATCACTCTGGAGCACCTCTCATGAGGCAGAGGGAAGAGCTGAGGCTTAGCCTGTGAGGCTGCATGTTCAGCTGAGCTTGGGCAGAGAGAGAATTCTTTCTGGAATACTGAAAGCAAGGAAGACAAATTTACCTTCAATGAACTGTTATGCACCAGGCATTGAGAGCTTTCACTTGTGTATTCATTCATCAGAGTCTGAAGGAGACTGAGATGTAGGAGACATGCAGGATTAAAGAGTGTGTGACATGGCTGTCACACACAGAACAAAAGAGGGCAGAATTTCTTCTTGTTGGTGTGATAATTACTGTAGTGTGACCTTCCATACCTGGAGTGTATCTTCTAGAGGCAGATTACAAGAAATTCACTCTTTCCTTTGAACATTCAACACAAGTACACGTGAGGACAGACAGTTCTGTGGGTACAATATTTGGTGTTTTACACTGTATGGGTGGAGCATATGGTTAGCACCAAAAGGTGGGTTGTACTGAATAAAAGAATTAAGAAACTCCCTTTACACACACCACACACACACACACACACACACACACACACACACACTTGTGCACACAGGCAGATAACCCCTCCACCAAAGACCCTTAATAAGATAGCATGGTTTCTTTCCACTTTTGTTCTCAGGCTATCAGAATGTGAGAATATCAGCTCGCAAGTGATTGGCTGCCGGGCTGAGCGGTATCCTGAGAGCTGTTTCTTCATGGGATCTGGCCCAGATTGCCCAACTGAATGGATTTTCTCTAAAATCCCCTGAGTAGCTGACTTTTGGACTATAACTCCACGTAGTTGTGGATACTGGCCTAAACTAGCTCTGTTGATGTTGACATATGGAAACATAGTTAATAGTGCAAAACCCTACGGATCCAGTTATTAAAATTAGTGAACTGTTAAAAAGTTAATTAAGCTGGAATCAAAATGACGGCATTAAGAATAACATTTAACACTTAAATAACATTTAAGAGTACTACCATAGCACCCACAACATATTAGTTGAAACCAGCAGTGCTCAAGGCCCTTGGCTAATTGCTTTGACACTGATGTATGTGCTAAGAATGTTGATTAAACTAACAGACTTTAAAAAGTATCTCATAATGTAGGACGCTATTAAATACTTGCTCTGGGCTTGTAAAAGATCCCCAGAGTGCTGACCCTGACAGTCTACTAATGGGCATGCACACATGAAACAACTTGCTTATATTCAAGGCTGCTTACTTAGGAAGATATTGAACATGGAGTTGGTTTGTGGCTATTAGCAACACTTCCCACGGTGCCAGTTATTGGAGACCCCTGCAGTGGCTTCCAATCTCCTGCCTGGGTTATGGCACATGGCGAGAAAGTACAGAAAAAGCAAGAGAAAAAGTAGAGGGGTGCATAGCAGGGATCTCGGGTCACCCATTGCTCTCTAGGAACTAAAGGCCCCAAAGCTCCAGCTAGCAAGGGTAGGGGAGGGGGTTAGGTCCTTTTCCTGGAACAGCATAGGTGTAGTGGTAGAATGGGAAATTTAAACATCTTAAAGGAAAAAAGATTCATCCCCCAGCACCTGGGTGCTAATTTCATTGACCTAGAGGAAGGGGATCTCAGCATTCCAAAACCAGCCTACAGGTAGGCAGGGTAAAAAGAACCTAGGACAGGTAGTATGTCAATTTACAAATTCAGGGTCCTCAACAGGTGACCAGGAAAATGAAGTCAACTGACAAGGTGCTGGCAGAGAGCATGGTAGAGAGAAGATGGTCCTTGTGTGACTTCTTCAAAGATTGAGAAGGGAGACAGATGCTTGAGGAAGGCTAAGTAGGAGAAAGGCTGGAGGACACCTATCAAGTTGGGGTTCATCATGGAATGGAGATAATGAGAAACCAGGCTGCAGTAAGGACAGCATTCAGGAAGTGAGCTCCTTGACACCCCCTTAAAGCCATTAGTGACTTCTTGGCAGGGACAAAATCATGCCTTGTAAGGCAGACCAAAGAGGGATACTTTTTTAAAATTTTAAATATTTATTAGTTCATGTTTGCAGTACATATGATTATATTCATTGTGGAGAATTGACATGTGTACATAACACATCTGTTATGGTTTGTGTCTGGATGTCCTCCCAAAACCTCATGCAGTCTTGGGGGCAGGCTTTTCTAATACAGCTAAATCTAGAGTTTGTGATTGGTTCATTGTCTAGTGCTGGGATTGGGAGCCTGAGTGCTATATCCACCCTAGGACAGGTAGCCTGCATGTAATATAAGAGAGGAAAAGAGGCTTTCTGCTCTTGCTGCTTTTGCTGTTTTCTGCTGCTGTGAACTATTGCTCTTCTACCACACCACCCTGCCTAGAGGCAGCTGATTGTAGACTGAAGCCTCCTCAAACTGTGGGCTAAACAAACCTTTTCCTCTTTAACTTTGGGTGTCAGGCATTTTGTATTAGCAAAGAGAGAAAAGTAACCAGGACAACATCTTATTTCTTTTCATTTCCCTTTCCCCTTAGCCCTGTTTTTAGAAAAAAAAAAATCAAACATTTTTTTGCCAGGATCAGATTTACAGTGGTACGCTGCTTTACAAACATTGTTCTACCATTTTGGGGGATATGGCTGCATTTGTGTTTTTGTGGGGAGTATGGCTGTGGTTGTGTTCATCTCCCTTGTTTGCAAACAGAAGCACAATTTTGCTAAATACTTTTGTTTGCAAACTGAATTGTTTGCAAACAGAAGTATTCATGAACTGAGCTATTGCTGTATTTATTTTTAAGTCTTTATCAAATTAATTATCATAAACACAGTTTAACGGCCAAAACCACAAATAACAATTATACTAAATCATGGTACACTTTTAGATACCTTGGATATGCTTGATTACAATGACTTTTTTCTCTCCCTTTTTTTCCTGTTGTATATCTTTTATTTTGTACTTTATTTATACTGTATATTGGGTTTCTCATATAAGAGAAACCATGCTATATTTAAGCTTGTGTGTCTGATGCACTTCACTTGACATGATCTCCAGAAGCACCATTTTCCTACAAATGACTCAAGTTTATCCTTCTTTATGGCAGATTAGCACTCCATTGTGAATAAATATCACATTTTCTTTATCTATTCGTCTGTTGATGGACATGTAAGTTGCCTCCAGGATCTAGCTATAATGAATTGTGCTGCTATAAAAATAAGTATGCATGTATCACTGTAACATATCTTTGGAGAAGATACCTGGAAGGTGAATAGCTGGGTCAAATTGAATTTCTATTTTTATATTTCAAGGAATCTCCACATTGGTTTCCATAGTGGTTTTAGCAGTTTACGCTCCCACCAACAATGAAAAAGGGTTCCTTTTTCCTCTGTGATCTTGCCAGTATTTGTTGTTGGTTGATTTTTTGATGATACCCATTCTTCCTGGAGTGAGATACGATCTCATTGTTGTTTTATATTTCCCAAAGGACTACTCATGTTGAATATTTTTTCTTGTATTTATCAGCCATTTGCACTTCTTCATCTGAGAAATATCTGTTCAATTCAGATACCCATTTCTTGGATTGGGCCTGTAAACACAAGTGATCTAAGTTTTTAAGTTCTTTATATATTCTGGATATTAGTCCTTTGTCTGAAGAGTAACTAGAAAATTGTTTTTCTCATCCTGTAGATTATCTCTTCACTCTGTTGGTGGTTTCCTTTACTGTGCAGAAGATTTTTAAATTGATGTGATCCTATTTGTTGATTCTTGGTATTATTTCTTGTGCAACCAGGGTTCTGTTCAGAAAGGCTTTGCCTATGTCTATGTCTTCAAGTATTTTATCTATTTTGTTTTCCAGCACATTTAGTGTTTCTGTTTTAGTATTTAGATCTTTGAACCATTTTGATTTTTGTTAAGTTCATTATGAGAGATATGGGTCCAGTTTCCATCTTCTGCATGTGGATAGCTGGTTTTCCTAGTACCATTTGTTAAAAGGGCTATCTTTGCCTCAGTGAAAATATTTGGGCCTTTTTTTGAAAGATAAGTTAGCTCAGTGTGACTGGAGTTGTTTCTGTATCCTCTATTCTGTTACATTGATCCACAAGTCTGTTTTTCTTTTTCTTTTTTTTGGCAATACCATGCTATTTTTATTATGATAGCTTTGTAGTATAACTTGAAGCCCAGGATTGGACTTGATGATACCTTCCTTGCCCTTG